CATAGTAATTGGCCATCTGTGTATCCTGTGTTACGATCGCTAAGTCTGGTCTCCATCCACCACCATACGATGCATCCCCTTTACTCAATTTGATGTTTAATATCCACTTTTTAGATTCTTTGCTGTGTGATGCTGTGGTCTACACTGTAGTTCCTGGGTCTATAAGAGCTCTTGAACTCAGTTTCTTAGCAGAACCAGCCAAATGCCAGTCGCAAGACAACTTATGGCACCTACCAAGGGGCCTACAACAGTCAGAGTGTCCCACATCATTACTAAGAAATGCCTAAGAGAATGAACCCCAGACAAGACTGAGCCGGAAGCCATCAGGATCAGCTGAACAAGCCCCACCTCCCCATTTACCTCAGGCAGGAGGACTGATCTTTTCAGGGCTGGCTTATTAGCTGTGAGGTAGACTCCGAGAGGCTAGGTTTTGCATGAGTTGGGTCTTTTGACAATTTCCAAGTCTAGAACTTTTCTGGGCACCAGACTGGTTGTGTGGCTTTAGGCTTTGGGGAAGTTTCTTCTGCAGCCAGCAGGAGCAGGGTGTTTGTCTCTGTGCTGCCACCTTGAGTGGGGTTCGGTCAAGATGCCACCATCCAGAGTCATTGGCTGGGGGCGCATTCTGTCCCTCAAACCCAAGGGTCCTTTTTTTTTTTTTAGTTTTTAGTTTTGAAGACTTATTTATTTATTTTACAAGAACCAGGGTACAGGCCAGATGTGTGGGAGGGTGAGAGGATTCACCAGAGACAGAGTGGGGAACAGAACAGGCAGACTGATGAAGTACACTGCTGAGGGGAGCAGTGGGCGAGACAGGAGAGGTCTGTTGCACCATATGGGATTCTCGCTGGCCACCATGTGCTGATTCTCTTGAACCAGCACTGCAGGGGCTGTGGACAGCTTCACAGTGTGGCACTCAACCACCTGCGCCACCAGGGGAGGCCCCCAAGGGTCCTTTTAAAGTAGGGATTTAAAATGATGAGAAAGATGTACTAAAATAATCACAAATAGGAGTTTCTTAATTGCCATTTGCAAATTGCTTTCCCTTTCATGCAAGTCCTTGGACACTTACAAATATTAGTCTATGACAGCTGGAAAACCAGTAAATGTTTTCTTTTAGCATTTGTAATCATTTGCGATATGAAGCAAAAGGACATTTAAAACCAAATAACTTAAGGTCCCAGGGTTAGACCAAAAAAACACAGCAAAGAGAACCATGTTGAATAGGTTAAATGTTTTCCTATAGCTGTGGTTCCCTTTATCTCCAGTCTGCCCTTAAGTCTCATAATGTCAAGGTATTTTTCCTCTATTGGTAATTCCGTCAGAATCTCTGATGGAAGCATCTGTGAGTTCTCTTCAATCCCAGACAGGCTCAGGAACCTCTGACCTGCTAGCAATGTCTGGGAACTAATGGGGCCATTTGGTGATTCTGGAACAGAAAGAAATCCTGCCTTTGACTTGAGGACGGTTGCTTGAGATGAATAAGGCTCTTAATGAGCAGAGAAATGGGCAGGTCTTGGTCAGAGGTGCCTAGGGGCTAGGATGTGACTGAGTGAAGAGATCCGTTTTGCTGTGACTTCTTGCGGCTAGGTGAGATCTCTCTCATTTTCTGAAAAGCCCATTATCTTTTCTCATTTTGCAAAATGGAGGATAATTTTGTACCTACATGTGTTAGAAACGCAGTCTATGCAATAATGACTCAGTTCTTATCTATCAAGTTTCTGACTTGGATAACTAAGCAGCAAGACTGGCTGCTCTTTTCCTGATTTTGGTGGAAAATGTGTGAATGTGAGTCTTTTTCACATCAATGGTAAAACTGCATTTTCTATTGTCTTTGAATTCTCTGCAGTTGAGACCAGTAGCTCCATTTACTGCTGATGACTCTAAATCCCTGGCTGTGGGTCCACTGATGACACTAAGTGGTGAACGTCATCACCTCCCTTTCTCTGCCCGTAGAGTGGGTAGCAATTTGTCCCTGATCCTTGTGCCTGGTACCATGCTGATTTTTATGCAAAGCTGGATGATGAGCAATACCTCACTTAGCTGCCAAATTGCCTTGTGGTTATGATCACTTCAATCGTGGGAAATGCACATAGGCACTCTGCTCTGATCCAGAAAGCACTGAGATGAAGGGGTGTTTTTCTCCCTATTCCATTGGCTATAATCAGTCCCTGAATTGAATTTATCTACTGAAGGCAGATCTTCTTATTAGTAGCTGTGGGGGATCAGATGAAAGATAGGGCGGTTACTTGGAGTTCCCAGCAGTCCTGAGCTTCCAATGTAGGAGATTACAAAGAAGACCCATTTCTATACATTGGAACAGGGTTAGGGAGAGAGAATAAATATGGATTATTTGTATCCAAAGGAAAACTTTTAGCAAATTTAAGAGTTATAGGTTGTTTTTTTTTTTCACTTTTGTTGTCCTAGAGAATCATTCTGTCCTTTGAATGAAAAAATTATCCCTTGACTTCATTGCAGAAGATAGCCCAGGAAACTGATGAATTGAAAGACTTTAAATTTAATCCAAACATTTTCAGTGGTTCAAGGCTAATAATGTTAATGTCAGATGTGACTCTACTAATTTGATAGTAGAGTGAAGCAGAAGCATTGTGATTTGGTTGGTTGATCTGACTACAGGTAACAAGTAGGACTTGGTAGCCCAAGGCACCACGGCCTTGACTGATAATGGGAAGAGAGCAGGCTTCCAGGCTTCCTGTGTGATTCAGCCCATCATGTGGAACTGCTCCACCTCTCTCACTCCCAAAACGGCCTCTCTGAAACCACCTGCTGTCCTTTCAGCCTGTTTACCTCCTTACTCTCACCATACTTGCTCTTTGACCCAAGGGACCTCTGTCTCCTCCTTTCTCCCCCTTTCTTCATGTTATAAAGCACTGAAGCCCTCATGACTCATCATCTAGACTAGGGATGGGCCACCTTTTTCTAGAAAGGACCAGATAGTAAATATTTTCATCTATATGAGTCATACTGTCTTTGTCACAACTACTTGATTGTGCCGTGGTAGCATGAAAGCTAGATGATATAAATGAACAGGCATGTTTGTGTTCCAATAAAAACTTACTTATGGACACTGACAGGGGATTTTCATATATTTTTCTGTCATGGAATATTTTTCTTCTTCTGATTTTTTAAAAAGATTTATTTATTTATGCATACAAGAACTGGGGTACAGGCCAGAGGTTCGGGGGGAGAGAGGATTCACCCGAGACAGAGTGGGGAACAGAACAGGCAGATTGACTGAAGTACACTGCTGAGGGGAGAAGCAGGAGAGTCAGGAGAGGTCTGCTGTGCCATGTGGGTCACCTCCCTGGCCAGGGATTGAACTCATGCTTTAGTGGCTGTGTATAGCTTCATAGTGCTGTACTTAACCCCTTGTGCCACCAGAGAGGTCCTCTTCTTCTGATTTTTCCCACCCTTTAAAAATGCAAAAACTGCTAGGAAATGGAGGCAGCCTGATGTCCATCAGTGGATGACTGGATCAAGAAGATGTGGTATATCCACACCATAAAGTATTATATAGCCGCAAAAAGGATGAGATGCAGCCATTGTCAACATCATGGAGGGAATCTCAGCAGAGTAAGTCGGAATGATAAAAACAAATACTGACTTTTATATAGCAGATAATCCGATAATGTAAAATGCATTGAAAAAAAACCAAGTGGACAGCAATAAACATCCCGAGGAAGGGGGAGGGTGAAGGACAGGAGGTGGTAGTGGGAAAAATATATTTTAAAGATACTAGAAAAAAATGCAAAAACTGTTCTTTACTTTCAGTCTATAAAAACATAGACATTATGCTCAATTTGTCCTAAGTTTTGTGGTTTATAGATCTTTGACTTAAATAATGCACTTCCTTGATTTCTTTATTTTATTCTGCTCAATGACCCAGAACTTCAACACCGGGCTGGTTATTAGTTGTGTGCCCTCTTTTTTCTCCCTCAACATCCCTGGGTCCCAGCACCTCCTGACAGTGTCTCTAAGGCTCACCTGTTCTCCATGGACTTGAAAATCTGTTGACTTACCTGTTCTTTGCCCCAGAGTCTGAACCAATTTGAAGAGGAAAAAGTTTCTGCTATTTTTTTCTATTCAGAGCCTGGCATGCATGTCTTACACAACACTCATATTCAAGAATTTTTTGTAGAATGAACAAATGAAATGACTCACAAGGAAACAAAAACACATATGGTTGGAACAGATTCGTTTTGCCTTTTCCATGGAAATTATATGAAACAAAAAGATTCTGAAATAGTTTCTCAGCAGGTTTCCCACCAATCATGGGTGAGCTTTTTTTTGTGTGTGTGGTTATGTACCTCATTTTCTAAACCCACAGGCTTTAACTGAGATAAAAGTTTTGAAATGCAAAAACATTGAAAAGTTCCCCCAAAGCTAGCTCCTTAGTAACAATGCACTAAGCGGTGATTTGTGGGTCAGGACAAGGCATCTGTGCCCTGAAGCATCTTGACATGTGCCAGGCACAGAGAAGGCAGTGGGCTCAGTAGTCATTTTATGGTTCAGAAGACATGATGTTTTCTTTCCAGCAAGTTCCATGAGTTAATGAGTTGTGTGTGTGTGTTCCAACATCACAGTCCTTGAAAATTATGTGCCATGAAATGTACATTCTCTAAAGGGCTTGGATGGATTTTTCTACCAGACAGAAAGAACTGAAGGGAAGCCACAATGTGTTCAACCCTGTATGTGCATTGAAGATTCCAGAACATAAAATTGAGGCGTGTGTGTGTGAAACAGGAGGCAGAGAGGCAGGCACTGCAAGGTCATCTCAAAGTCAAAGCTACACAGGGACTAAAGTTTGGAGATGAAGTACAGCTCAATTCATGAGAAGCAAGACAAGCTGGACTTTGGAAAGAGCTACTAAGTCTGCTGCCCTTGAAATGCTGGTGCTAAAGAGGAGATGGATGATTTGAATCTCTGAAGAACCAACAATGACTGTAAAAGCTGACACCAGTTTACTGACATGTCACACTCACCTCACTTCATCTTGGGATGGGGTTGCTAGACTGATAGACCAGCAAGGCTCATCCGTGCTTGCTCTAATTCATTTTTCTGCTGAACAGTCTGTGAATGGAAGGGGGAAAAGTATCCTGAGCATTAGTCTCACTCTAAACTGAACCTGGCAAAGGAGCTGCTTAGCTGGAGTGATGTCATAGATTGGGTAATAACCATAACATTATGAGTGTGCACTTGTAGTGCCTACAGTCTACGCTGTAATGACAAGCTTTATGAAAACTTAAAAACAGACCAGCCAAATTTCCAAAATCCACAAGGAAGCTAATGCTAGCTAGGCTTTCAACAAAGTTCTTTTCAGTTTTAATTTGGAGCAATAGGATAACAAAATTAAATAAAGTCACAAATGATCGAAAACTGCACTATGCAGCAAGAATGTTGATTTGTGACCAGGCTAGTGGCTGATGTGGGTGCCTGAGGGTTCTGTCTTTGCTCTGTATTGCTTCATAGTCTGTCCTCAACCTCCATGAAGATAGACACTGGCTTATTGTGTTTTGCTTTAAGTCTGCAGATAAGGTTATGGGGGGGAAGATGCTTATAATGTAATCAAATGTGGTCCTTTGGATCTAGTTGTTGTCATAAGAAGAAATTAAAATCTTATGTATTTTTTTTAAAAACCCAAATGGACTGGTTGAAACATTCTAAGTAGCTCTCATGTCATGACCCATCCTCCTTGGAGAAGATTCATTGCTAGTGATTTGTACCTTGTCTCCTTGCAATCTGGTCTTGGTGGGTTGGTGCCTGGCTCAAGGGATGCAAGGGTGACTCTTGGTAGATTCTCTGAAAGAGGCAGTATAAGCCAGTAACTGAATCCCAATGTTAGGTAACAGTAAAAAAAAAATACGTCAATAAGGAATTGAATGACATATTATGCTTGAAAAATGTGGTAGAAGCTGGGTCACATCAAGTAAGTTATCCAAAGTTATGACATTCGGATTCTGAAGAATGAGACAAGAGGACAAGGCATTAAAACTCCATCTAAAAATAGTTCAGGGATAGGTAGGAGCCCAGGCCAACTGCACACCCACTGCTCACTCATTCAACCATTCACTGCTGACTTCTATGTGAGGGTCCATGCCAAAGAGATGATGACGGGGATATGCAGTGGTGAGCAAAGTGTCTCTTGCTTTATGGGTTTATGGTCAAGTGGGCCCGAGTCTCTGACACTGCCCTTAAGGAAAATAACTTCATACCCCACTTGAAAGTATCCCTAGTTGGGGATGGAGCTTGGTGGGCTGGAGTATGCCTTGACTGGAAGAGAGTTGGAGTCACTGAAAGCATTTGTTTGCAATTTTTAGATTTGTTAATATTGTCCAAGAAGTGAGTGTGTGCGCGTGAGTTGGAATTGCCAGGGTCAGACCGCCCCAAAATTCTCAGAATTTTGGTCCTCTTCAGATGCTCTGCTCTGGCAGGCAGAAAATTTTTGAGGTTGAGGAGAAGCTTCTGTTCTTGGCTAAGTGATTTAATCTTTCCTAACAGAAGAGAGCCTCACTTCCTAGTTGGAAAAGCAATCACTGTGCCCCCTTTTATGACCTAGAAGAATACAGTTTGGGGGTTTGAACCAGTTGTAGGTTTATCAGTGAACATGTCCCCCAAGAATCTCATTTTTACCTTTAGGTTGAGCATGAGTCACTTCCTTATTCTTACGTGTCATGCCAAGTCTTGTCTTCCCTGACACCCCACGTCCATGACACCACAGGTCCCTGACACCCTCGGATCCAAAATGCAGAGTAAATGCCCGCAGTCTGATTCCATTACTGTTTGTAAACTGTCCATGTGTTAAATTTTGACCTTTTTCCTATGACTCAGTCTGATGCTAATTTGTTCAACTGTCTGTCCAGTCTTAGAAGATTCTCCAGCCCAGGTTTAGGGAAACTACCCCCGTACCCCACAGTGTGTACAGAATGTGTACAGTACATTAAAATCAACGCTCTGTATTAATATCAATAAATTAATATTTAAATTTTAAACAATATTAAAATTTAATAATATTAAAATTTAATTTAATCAATATTAAAATTAATACTTAGTTTATTTTTTTTATTTATTTTTTTAATATTAAATTTTATTTTTATATTCCCCCATACAATTGCAAACGCCCCATTCTGACCCCAATCCTTCCCCTCCCGCCCCCCACCCCCCAAAAAGTGTCTCTGGTTCATAGTTTTTTGTTGATTTTGATTTTCACTTTCTTATATTCATTTTCCTGGTCCCTTATTTAAGTTTTCTAGATTCCTGCTATGAGTGAGACCATCCGGTATTTTTCTTTTTCTTTTTGGCTTATTTCGCTGAGCATGATCCCTTCCAGTGCCATCCATGTTGCTGCAAATTGCATGTGTTTATCTTTTTTGAAGTCACAAATTTAAAAACTTATCTTTCTTGAGGTTTTGAGTCTACCTTATGGATCTTGTTATTTATTTAATATTTATTAAATATTTATATAAGAATAATTTTTTTTAAATATTTGACAGTTAAGTAACTTTATTTATTTTTCTTTTTAGATTTTTTTTTTTATTTATTTATACAAGCACTGGGTACAGTCAGAAGTGCGGGAGGGTGAGAGAATTCACCAGAGCCAGAGAGGGGAGCAGAGCAGGCAGAAGGACCAAAGTACACTGCTGAGGGGAGCAGCGGGCGGCAGGAGAGGTCTGCGCGCCATGTGGGACCCTCCTCTGGTGGCCGGGGAGCAGTGGGGGATCGAACAGGTGCTGCAGAGGCTGCGGGCAGCTTCACAACCCAGCGCTCAACCGCTGCGCCACCGGGGAGGCCCAAGAATAATTATTTTAATGTGCATTAAAATGTTCAGTAAATTAAGTTTAATAGATTGATTCCCCCTCATCAATTAACCCCATTTATATGCCTAATTATTTTTATCTTTTAAATACCTTTGTGTACATTACAAAGCAGTTTGTCTGATTCTCTTAAACACATCAGATGCTTGAAAGGGCAGACTCACATAACCAGAAAACAAACACTGTTTCAGAACAGCTTTCATAAATTAAATAATTCATGTTTAAAAATGTCACAAGTCAACTTTTGTTAAATGTTCAAACTGTTTCCAAAGAGATCGACTTACTCCTTTCACACAGAGTATGTTTCCAATTCCACCAAGCAATTTTCCATTTCTCAGTGGCCAACGATTTAATTCAGTGCTGGAGTTAGTGTCAGAGGCCATTGGTTAAAAGCTCAGCACCACAAAACTCCCCTCCCCATTCACAAGTTCAGATTTGTCACCTGGGCCTCTGACCTACTAGCTGTTGCATGGGAAGCTCTTCAAACAACCCCATTCCCTGGTTTGATTAATATTATAGAGCAGCTCATAGAATGGGGGAAAATTTCCTTAGTGGATTCCCAGTTTATTATAAAAGGATGTAACTCAGGAACAGCCGGTGGGAATGATGCACAGGGCAAGAGGTGAGGGGCTTCCATGTCATCTCCAGGGTTACCTCTCTCCCAGCTCCTCTGGTACCCCTCATCACTCTGGAACCCCTTCCTTTGGGTTTTGTGGAGGAGGCATGTTCACATAGGTACAGTTGGTTAAATTGCTGTCCACTGATGATTGAACACAACCTCCACCTCTTCTCCCCTCCCTGGAGCTCTCAATTAAGGTTAAAGTTCTAACTCTAATCACTAGCTTGGGTCCCAGGAAAAACCCCCATCCTAGGGTTACCTATGGGCTTTTAAAAGTCACTCATTAACATAGCAAAAGACACTTTTCTCTTTCACCGCTTAAGAAATACCTAGTGTTTTAGGAGTTCAGTGTTAAAGAAGGGGGATGAAGACCAAATACATGTTTTATTGCAATTCACAATAAAAAAACAATTGTCTTGTTTTAAGTAGGAAAAAATTGACTATCTTTACAATTACAAAACATTCCTAAATTTGACAAAAAGGCATTAATGGCAAACTTTTTGTGTACTTCATCATCTCTATATATTTTTACTTTCCTATGACATTAAATCCTACAGTGGACTAGAAGGGGTAGATAAATTCCATCAAGTGGACTGAGTTCTATGTTTGTACAGACTAAGAGTCAAGTGGGCTCTGTTTTCTTATCATTCAGCTCAGGGGCCCGAGAAGCTGGTTCCTTCTTTTACTTGACAACTGTCTGCCCAGTGCTTGATGCACTTGGGTGTTTCAACTTTCACCTTTACTCAATGTTTACCCACTCTTCCAACTTTTTGTTACCTGTTTTGAATAGGAGGAATTCTTGAACTCTTCCCACCCCTATTTGGATGGTCTGTAATCTGATAAGATTAAATGAGTAATTAATTGAATTTTTGTACTTCCTCATTCAAGGGGTTAAATTTGCAGAATGGTTTTTATTTTGCATTCCTCCAAACATGACTTGACTGTCTTTTGATTATGATTCTATAGTCAATTGTTGATGTCTAAGAGCTGAATCTTGTTAAAATGGGGAGGGGTAATCCACTGAGGTCCTTTCTGAGGAAAATGGAGGCACAGGGCATTTGGGAGAAAAATTTTCCATCACTCTGAGCCAATGAGATAAAAACCTAGCCCTCAGGAGAGCTGCAGTGCTGTCCTCCTGCCTCCCAGTGGAAGCTCTGGTCTCACCCACTTCATGTGCATCAAGAAGAGAGCGCTGGTGCGTCATGCTCCAGCTCACAGTGCTGTGCTTTTAGATTTCTGGGTGACTAGTGGATTCTGCAGTGTGAAAGTGCAGCGTAAGGGTGAGGGATAAAGGATGCAGACTCATTTGGCAACAGCGATTTCCTGACTGGATCATCAAAAGTTAAGAATGATCCTTTTGCCACTTCCTGAACTCGCTTTCTCCTGCCCGATGACCAGGAGACAGGGAAAAAGGCACAGTTGCCATTGAGTGGGATGATGCTCCAAAGAAGGAAAACCACCACTGCTGGTTCAATACCCAATCAGGAGCACTGAAAAGCACTGATTTAATTAATTATCCTGAAGTTCCTTTGGAGAGGTCTGTGTGGGTGCCTCTGAATGAGGGCTCCGGAACAGACCCTCCACCTGCTGGGAGAATGCACATTTCCGCTGCCACACAGCAGGCCCTAAAATGGGTAGCCATTCTCCCTGGATTTCCTGTGAGGCGCATTCAGGATGTCACATGCTGTGGAACAGCTGCAGAGGATGACAGCAGCAGCAG